TGACTGACTGACTCACTAACTCAGTGAATCATTGATCGAATGACCCACTGAGTGACTGAATGACTATCCGCTGACTGATTGACTCACTGGCTGACTAATCGAGACTCACTGACTTCCTGCACTGATTAACTGACTGATAACTGACTGACTGATTGCTGACTAAATAAAAGACTGAGAACAAATGACTGATTTAAATTCTGCTTTCTGGTCGTGAATGACCCATTCGTGTGCCACTCCTTTTGCTCAACCGATCGTTACCTGTAAATATGTAGTTAATTTCTGTACATAGCCAAAGCCATACTCGGATGGTGCGTCAAGAGTTTTAATGAAATGCCATCCACTCACAGTCTCTTCATCTGTTTCAGTTAATTCGTAGTCATCCGAATTGCTGATAGTCCACAACTCTCTCATCACTCCATTTCCATCAGATTTGGAGTCTATGAAGTGAAGTGAAAATCGTTCCGACGGCTGAATAATGACTGAACTAGTTATCAAAAATTTATTCACCAAAATGGAGGTGAATGATTGTTGCACAAAAAATGATGAAATTAGTTTATTCATGTCAACATACCGAAAACAGTGGTCGGAAATTAAATTCTTGACGCGATTTTGTCTCTTGGGCTGTTCGGAGGTGAATAATACCCGCTATTTACTTCCAAATTAGCCAGTCAGTGCACGCAAAAAGCACTATACATAGGTGCAGCAGTTACTAATCTATTTTATTCTATAGGGGCAACTTGACATCTATTTAAGAGGCTTTTTGCCATTTTTTGACATCTAGGTAATGTGGGATTGATTGTTGGCTTACCTATTCCAGAGATGTGTAATTCGCAGACAGTCAATGTACAGTTTCCTTCTTTGCTTACTTGTACGGCCATGCCCTTTACAGGGGGAACACAGTCAAACACTAATCCTGCGCTTTTGTTATTTCTGTAACACTTCACTGGAGTATCTTTCCGATTAGGTGTCAAAACTTGAACCTGGTACAGCTCGCCGCTCCCGTGAAAATGACTGTCGTTGATCAGTACTTTGTAAATAAACAGATCCCCAGGTAGGCCAACTCTAATCCAAGGATCGAGTTCCTATAATTGAAGTAAAATTCATGAATACTTAAGACATTTCTTAGTAGAGATATCGATGTTGCTGTATCGAGGAAATCATAGAAGATAAATCACAGAACAATGACTAAAGAAGAATCCCGCTACTTTCGCCACAATTTGCTTGAGAAATCGTCAGCGCAACAATTAAAGAAATCGGCTAAAGGAAATAGTTTTCTAATCCATTTGGTTATAGTTGATAGTAATTGGTCATCGGCATACCGCTGCCCAGCAAACACCATTTGTGTTGGTCTTGATAATATGTTAGCTGACCTAATTACTCAAAATCGCAAGCGTCCTAACTTAACGAACTAAAATTGTGCCTTCCAATTTTTAAAACTGGGGGTTGCACTTCCGAATGATATAAAAGTGATCGCAAAAGTTCATAAGTACCTTATTGGAAGAGAAGCAAGTTGCGAGGTTGTTATCGATAGCAAAGGCAGCGTTACATGTTTGGTTTGCCACACTGGATGTGTTGACTGCAGTTCTGAAGCCTACATTGACTTGCAAGTCGAAAGAAGGTTTGTTAAGAGTGGTTGAGAAGGTATTAGTCATTATTTTCG